AAATGCCTGAAGAATGAATATACAATAATGAATGAGTAAATGCAATTGTAGTAATCTAAGAATTTTTCTGGAATCTCTCTTAAATAGATAGAGATTTTGTTGAAGAAGTGAGATAGATGTTGGTCATTTCTTGAAATTTTGTTCTTGGGCTTTTAGCTTGTATGTTGATTTGTTTTTGGTAAGGTTCCCTACCGACAAATCTTGTAAGCGCTCTGATTTTCGTTTTCCCTCAATTTCCGTTTGCTTCCGGCGCAAAACCCGCGCCACTGGTTATTATGTAATCAGCTGAGATGAATTATGCAACAAGTGTACATCCTCATTCATAACCATATTGCACATTAATCAGCCCAGTCTAGTCGCCAATGTCTATACGATTTTCTCGTGTCTTTTGTAGCTGTGTGGAACTGGAAAGTCTTTTTACGGCAACATGAAAAATAAAACAGGAAAATAAACGATATAAAAAATCACAACTTTGACTGACATCGAAGAAAAAGAACCCTAATTAGTGTAGGTGTAATTTTTGACGCTTATACTTCACACTTCTAGGTCACCTTAATTAGTATCGCTCTGAAGTATCGAAATAGTATCTGAAGATCTACTCTCCCTTTTAATGTCATTCATCGTTAAAGAAGCCAGGTAGCAGATATACAGGCAGACTTTTCGTTAACAAATTCTTTGATTTCGATGCTTGCTACTCAACATTTTTATATGCAATTTTTAGTTCTTTTTCTTCAATAAAAAGTGCTTTTAATGCATATTTTGCAGGGTTTGATATGTTATAATTGATTGACATGGCGCATCATATTGATCAAACCTAAAGGAAAGCCCCAGCCTCCCTTTCCTTCCATCACCATACATCGTGCGTAGTGAGATACAACAGAATGCTACCATTGACCAAGCTATCCCTACAACACGCCATCATATTAACGACAACAATGACGGACATATTTGTTCTCACGGTTGACGGAATAGTTAGTGTTTGCTGGAATATCGAGTCGCACAACTGAACAGACGTCACCAGGCAACACCAGTTCATGGCGAAACCGCACCAGACAGTGTGCCACTTACCGTGTGTGTGTGTACGGCCACCTGTTCCTCACGTGCTCCCCTCCCAGCCCCAGTTCCCCGCACCTGGAGACCGTCTTTCTTGTACAAGCCTGGTTTCTTCTCTCTTCTCTAGATTAACCCCCAACCCATGCCGTCCCTTAACCAAATCCGGTGAATTTCAGCATGCGGGTCGCGGTGAGAAAAAGCCGCTGGCCCTCCGGGGACCGCCCGGCCCCTCCCACCCAATTAACGGTCTCGTTAATAAGACGACTCTCGCCGGATTGGCCTGAAAAGGTCCCCGACAGCTTCCCGTATCATTTTTTTCTCTCCTGTCCACAGACTAACAACGCGGGTTCAAAAACAGAAAAACCTCAACAAATCGGGAGGATAATTGGCCAGCTAGGGGAGTTTGGTCATTTTCCGGCCCGCGAGGGGGAAGGGAAACGTTAATGGTGGACCCGCTCCCCTGTCCAGTCGGACTGTTTTTGCTGAATTCTACTCTCCAAACCCCCTTAAGAAGGCCTTGTGGAGGATACCATATTGCATCTGATGTAGCTTCATTACGACAGCCTTTTGTTATCAGCTGTGGTGAACAAAGGAGATAATGAAGACGCACCACTCAAAATACAAATGTTCAAACTGATAAACCACAACAAGACACCGTTCATTCAGCAAACCCCAAATTGAACCTGCTTTGCAATTAATCAAACACATTGACAATGGCTCTCCTTCTAAACAGTTCAGTTGCGTTTCTTTCTTTGTGATCTCTCTTTTCGTGCACCCGCATTATGAGACAGGATGCTCATTTTTTTTATTTCCATGAATATCAAACTTGCAGAATGTCCTCAAATTCATTTCCCAAGTAATTTCCGTTAAGAAGTAAAGTTATTAAGAAGTTCTATTTACAAGAAAACACATTAAAAAGTCAAAGTTATTTCTGTAGTCAAGCACAAATCATTTCCGTGGAAAACTGCACCGGAAAAGATGAAGCACTTGAAGTTGTTGAGTAAGAATTTGTGCCAATATTTGTACAATTCTAATTCAACTAACAACGCCAATGAACAGATGGGCACAGTCAGATGTAATCCACATTTCCAGTTTAGTAGCAATAGCACATTCCTAACTTAAATGTAACGTTTTTGAACTTGAAGAAGCAAGATTGAGGATGCGTAATTAAAAACAGCAAATGAATAGTTATTCCCAAAGCTCTGCCTGGGCATTATGCTGTGTTGAGTTCTGTTGCGTTGTTTCATGTCAGTTCTGTTCTAGTTGTAATCATTGAGACATTATCATTGGCATTTCTAAAATCATGTGGTGTCATATTTCTTTCGTTCAGGTTTTCAGAGGATGTGTAAGATGTAGGATAAACGGGTGAAGAACCACCAGACAATATTTAACGGCAGAGGGATAACACGAGTTAATCATCCTAGACTGTGTGATTCGGATAACAACGAAAAAACAATGACTCAAAATGGTTCACCTTTTTAATTCTCCCTGTCCTGTTTTTCCACTGGATTTCTACATGTTCTATTTGGCTAAAACGAAATTGTTTTTTTTAAATTTGACTGACTGTGGTCGTCGTAGTTCGACACACGGTTTTAATGCTGTAGAATTTTCAAGCAGACTGTGACAGAACCAATCGCCAATAGGTATCCTACATAGTAACAAGACAGCTGATTTTCAGTGGAGACATACACGCTATCAAAGAATGCATTCATCTTGCGATTTTACGACTATCGTGCCACGCGTAACCAGGCCTTTGGCTTATTACAACTCAGACATATCTTTCAGCCTTCTGTGAACCTTTTTCATCAGCACATTTGTTATACAATCTTAGAAGTTATACAATCTTACAAGTGGTTGATTTCCAAGGTCGATCGCAGCGAAGCCAGAAGGAACAAAAACATTGCGGAAGACGTGAATTGGCGACCACTTGATCACCCAGCCAAAATCATCATTTTTTTCTAACCCTGTGAACATTTCTTCCACTTGTCGCCTATTTCTGGCCGTCTTTCCTTCTTGATACACAATGATGGTATTGTTGGCTGATGACTCGCCGTCGTAATTAGATAAATTGAAGAGGGAGGAAACGGAAAGTTGGGAGAAAGGAGAGACCGGACAGCGAAATTAACGATATAAAATCAGCGTCTTGCCTCGTCCAATTTTCGTGCCCTCCCCTTTCAAGTCACCCTGTCAATTAGCGCCCCTGATCCTCTTTCCCGCCATCCTTAATCGGCGAATTTCATTCAGGCGACAAATAAGCGGCTTTGTGCCGCTCGGAATACACTTTCCCTCATCTTCGCCTCCGCCTGGCCAATTTTCTGTCCCGGAGTTCACTTCAGAGGCATCAGCCAGATACAATTACCGGCGCAAAGAGCAGCGAGATGGACTCCCACCCGGCCGGCGATGATTCACTTACACCCGGCCCGCGCGATCAACGCCACCACCGCCGCCACGCCTTTATGCCAGAAAATCGAATTGTTGGTAACTACCGAATGGCCTGAATCGCGTTATGGTCGTTACTGGACGTTGGTGGATGTTGAAAAGAGAAAACCGTCTCGTTAGGATAACGACATCTGCCTCCCCGCTCGCCAAACCGATCTGATTGCTGAAGTCTTGAAACTCTGCTAACCCGATTTCCTAAATTCTGGTAGACCGATCTCGATATAGATCTTTGATGTTAACTGTATAATAACAAATAGAAGAGGCGATCCGGGTTTCTAGGTCAGACACTTGTTGTTTGCGCCAAATCACATGATGTGTACTACCATGTACACTTGAACATACGATCAATGATTTTCTGCTATGGGTTGGCAAATGTCTGTCTTTTTTCTGCCAAATCTTTTTCTCCCATTCATCAAACATCAATTACTAGTAGTTTCATTAGTTTCTTATCCAGCTACATTGACTATTGTTAAAACAACAGCAACCTATACAACTTCTCCAGTAACACAAACTTTTCAAGACAGACTGATTCAACTGTGGTGTTCCACAGGGGTCCCTTTTGGGCCCTTACACGCGTATATCTTATCATTTTTACTTCACAAAGCTGCTATGTGGTAAGATTACTATATATATCACAACGCCTCGATTTCTGGGGTTGCCACTCGTCTGTCAAAGCGAGTACGACAGCTCTCCATGCTTTGTTGAACCACAACTTTTTTCATCGCCCGTCATTCGTTTCTTTCACCTGGCAGCCCGTCCGGACCACCTGGGTGCCTCCGTGCGTCACACGCCGTCGTCTTGTGACTTGTCCGCGACAGTTACTGACGCCAGTTCCACGCGCGCTGGGAGCATGTGCGCATTTTCTCCTTCCGATTCTGTGAGACAAGTCTCAGGAGCGGAAGCCGAGCTGGGAATAGACGGCCCTGACGCTCTAACCTCTACCAGGCTTCAGGGATGGCTGGAAAGAGTAGAAATTAGCCAAATAGACAGATAACATGTCAGGGGAGTTAGTCCGCTAAAGGTGTACACTTTACCACTCTCAAACTGTATTCCTTAAGGGGGCTAACTCCTGGCATGTTATCTGTCTATATGTGTCCAATTTCTATTCATTCCAACTGCCAGCCTCTGAAGCCTGCTAGAGGCTAACCATTCTCCACAGCTTGGCTGAGCAAAGCCGGCCATAGAAGCTCCAACTTGCGACGTCGACCCACAAATTGGAGCTTCTATGGCCGGCTGGATCTTCTCTGGTATACTATCCCTTTATTTCGGCCAATTTCTACTATTTTTCCAGCGATCCGCGGAGCCTGGTAGAGGCTAAACCTGAATCACAGGCTAGGATCGAATTTAATCCACACTTTCACTGATTTACCTCAATGGTTTTTTAAACAGTGGTAACGGAACTGTTGAAAAATGTATTGGAAGATGGAGCCCACCCCTTTCCTTCCACTGCCTTTCACCTTCCCAACCGAAATCAGGTACACAACTTACACCTGGGTGGTGTGAGTAAAAGCCATGTGGAGTGCCTATCCAAGCACACAACTTCTAGACAGGTGGGCCAGTGATTAAACCCATGTTCCCAATCTTCAACCTCTTCCTCTGCACCAGTGTTTTAATTTCGTGTATTCAGGGTGTGCATACTACATCTTTCAGAGGAATACAAAGAGTAATTACTAATAGTCATTGCAATGGCAGAAATACAACAATGCCTCCTACCATGTAATACCAGAATTACAGATAAAAGCAAACCAACAATATTATAAGCACATGATGTTTCTTTTCTACCATTTGTTGTTGTGAGTAACAAAAGCATCCTCATAAAACTTCATTAATATATTTCAACCTTCAAGTTATTATCAGGACATACTTTTCAGTACATTTTTTCCTGAAAACTTACTCCAGGACTTAACATCTTGAGTGACTTTGGTACCTTTTCCTGTCACTGGGTAAATACTTTGAGTAGTAAAAGTCTAGTTAAGTTGTTCCTATTAAGAGTCTTTGACAAGGCTACTTATTTAGCAGGCCAAGCCTTTGTAAGCAACATTTATAGTAATCTTAGTTTTCTGTAAATGCTAATTACTATTGTGTATATTTCTGTCTGATTGCACTAGATTAGTAATGAGTTGAAAGTTAGTAAGACTCAAATAGTACACATAGTAACTATATCATGTATATAATGGAATGACATTGAAGGGAATCACAATATACTGTAAATTGTGAAATATTTGCAGTGGTCTTATCATCACAGTTTTTGCGGTGAGAGTTTTGCACTGTTGTTATTGGTTGTGCCGGCCAATCCCTCCTTGAAGTGAAGTGCTGAATTGTGAGAGCTAAAAATCCGTGGGGCTGAACTGCAAGGGTCTGGAGTGACTCAGGTGTCCTCAATAAGACCCGAGGTGCAGCCATAGGACTGTAAGGTTTGAACTGTCGTGCATTGTGTTACATGTACCAGGGTACTATGGCTGTGTCAACCACAAAGTCTTGATTTTCACCTGGCCACATCATTTATGTGCTGCAAACTTAAATGAATTTCTGGTACCATTTCCTTGCTTTTGATTCAATCGTTGAGTACAGTGTTGAGCACACATTTTGGGCAGGCCATGGGGATCTGTGTGTTAGTGTTGAAATGGTCACACAGCAGTCTGGTGGAGAGGGGGAGGGGGGCACCATGGGACTTCATACGACTCTCAAACCTACAGGGGAGGAAAACACAGATTTTCAGTTATGAATATAGAATTATTTACATCAGATATTGGAGAAGGTCTCGTGAAATACAACAATGAATGCTAACAAAAGCAAGAGGTTTCAGACTTCAGGGAAGTATTCTGGGTTTTAAACATTCAAGTTAGCCCCATTTCCTGTGTTTGACCTTTAGACCTATCATTCTGCCTGTCAATCTTCCCCCACCCACATGCTGTCAACCTACACTTCAGTTCACCACAATTTCTTGTGTTGGAAATTACAGTTAAACTTGCTTCATAAAGTCTTCCCTACTGACAGATGAACTTTCAAGAGATACCAAACAAGGACCAAACCTGTACACTTCCTCCCGATAGTCGTCCTCGCGGTAAGAATGTCCGCAGGTGAAGAACACGGCCTTCTGCGGGATCCTGGACTCCTCCTTTGGCCTAGGGTCGCCAAACACGGCCTCAGCCTCACTCTGAGACAGCTGGATGTACCCTCTCTTCCCAGCATCCTTTTGGAGGTTGTGCATGATCTCCTGCCAGAGTTTCTCCTCTGGGACCAGGCTGTCCGAGTTGCTAGGTAACGGGAGCAGGCTGCTGTGGTTGGATCCCAGAATTGCTTCCTGTAAGGCCTCTTCTTGTTCCGAAGGAACCTAAAAATGAGTGGAAGTGTTTGTTGCCATTCCATTGGTTTTCACTTCACGTTAATCTTCATTCTTACATCAATCCATTTTCACTCACACAACTTTTATAGCCTGTACATTTGTATCTGTATCTGTGTCTGTATAACTGGTATGACAGCCCTTCTGCATAACATACCAGTGTGGCAGGCAGCTAGCTACATTACATTGGATGACTTGCAACACCTAATCTTTGCACAACTAACTGCAAACATTGTTTAAAGCTATCTAAAGATGATGTACTGTACTTGGTGGCATTGAGTTCCACTCCATAGTTCTAAGAAAAAATGAGTGTGTGGAACACCTCAATCTTTGGTTAATATCTCTGGTACTTGAAGACATGACTATTTCCGTTTCTCTGAGCTGGTTTTAGATACATTAGTAGTAGGTACGTCCACCAGTTTACTAGTCATAAGGGAGGTTGTACCTTTCCCTGTGTGATCTGTTGAGTGACAGCTGCTGTCAGCTTCAGGTGGAACTGTGTGGAGAACATGACAGACTGGGCAGGTGGAGCCGCTGTAGCTTCAGTCTCTCCCACAGTCTGGGGCTCCCTGCTCCTCCTGCAGAAAAAAACATTGCACAACTCAAACCGTATTCATCAAAGATGCACTACACATAGAACACATTACAACAGCCCTGGCACATCGCATGTAACCCACATCCTGCAAAAACAAAAACATGTAGGTAACAAAATAGTGAATAAACAAACAAACCATAGATGTCCCACCTGTGAATCACGATGAAGAGTGGACAGGCCAGTGTGGGCAGATGTTCCTCCAACACAGGCTCCAGGGCAGATGTCTCCAGACCTGCCTCCTGCCAAAACTCAACCATCTGTGGAGAAACAAAACAGTAACTATCAATAAACAATGTCTTCAAAAGTCTTTCGAACTTTTTTAACCTTCTTTGACTCCTGCACTAATTTGTTCCAAAATATCTTTAAAGTGTTCTCTCTCGTAAATCTGATGTCACAAAGTACAATAATTGTACATGTACTGTGTGTATGTTTGTCCAGAATAGGTTGACAGCACGTGGGTTGGAAAGATTGACAGGCAAAATGGCAGGAGGTCAGATACAGGTTTAAATAGATACAGGAAAAGGGGTGAACTTGAAGGTCCCCAAATCCCAAGAGTCCTGAAATCTCTGATTTCTTGTTGATAAAGTGATACCACTTACCCCTTCTAAAAGCTGCAGGTATTGTTGACTGGAATCTGTCCCCTCAGTACTGTCCTCTGTTACCATGGTGATGTAGGAAGCCACATGATTGACAGCTTCATCAGACATCTCTGAGTTAGCTCTCCTCATCGCCTTCAGTCTGTAGACCAAAGCCTGCATGAAGAAACACTGTCAATTATTTGAAGACTATGATCACATTATTTTGTATGTGCATTTGTATGTACTATAAATGTTGCTCTTCTTTTAATATGGGACATTGGCCTGAGACAAAGAATAAACAAAACATATGGGTTCTAGGATAAAGTTAGTAAGATAAATGGATAAATTTGAAAACTGTTAAATATTTCAAGTATAGCATCCACTACTTTTGTTAGTGACTAATGGAATCTGTATCATTAGCTTGGTCTTATTTTCTGGTCAAAATTAGTCCTCACCTCACTTACATATTCATTCATAGTTTTTGGAAAAAATACCTGTGGATGCTACTTGCTAAATGTCTGACAGTTTTCAAAATCTATTTGATTGAGTAAGAGTTTTCTGTTTAATTGTTTCAATATTATAGCACTAAAAAGACCTGACCTGTGGGAAAAGCCTGAGTTCATCATAGATGTCTGCAACACTGGCCCAGTCCTCATAGTCCTGGCACAGTCTGGGGAGGGGGGCAGGAAAACAAACAATTATAAGTCATATGTTTATCAATGACGATGAAAATGATCTGTGTCTGTATCTTTATCTGTATAGCTGTTATAACCACCCTTTTGCTTCACACATCAGCTTCACGGGCATCCAGCGTGGCAGTAGCTGGCTATATTAAACAAAATAACTTGCACTGGATTGTTTGAAGTTGTCTGGTGATGATGCTCTTACTGTACTTCACAGCAGCCAGCACCACTCTATAATAGTTCTACTAACTTCTAGCAAAAACTGTCCTACCTGACTACATCCTGTGGCTGATAGAACGTCCTGAGGTGTTTAATGGCAGCTCCCAGCGCCTGTCTGCCGTAGGAGGGACCGCCCTTGTCTGCTGTAGACAGGTCAGGCAGACCTGGGTCATCCTCTGGGTCCTCCAGACTCTGAACAGTCAAAACACACAAGCTGAACAATAAGGAACAAATTATTGTAACTACTGTTATCCTGTACATTATGTCTTAGGCCTGTTCAAGTTGTTGTCCTGTCCTTGGTGCTGAACTCTCAAATGCCCGCTTCTCTATATAGTTGACAGATGCAACTGTCAGATGTCCAAATCAAAGAAAATGGTCCACTAGGTGCATTTTCATTGCAACAACCAAAGTTAGGCAGAAGGAAAGCTTATAATTTTGAGAAGTTGTGCACTATTACTGAGAAAAATATAAGCGAAATATTTTTTTCGATCTTCACTCTGGAGTATTTGAAGATATTTGACTCGTACCTCTTCATCTTCACCACTGATGCCATTACCGGTAGCATCCTCTTCTCTCAACACGATGGCCCCGGGGATGCCCTGGAGCTGCAGGGGCGTCAGCACGTCTCGACCAATGAAGGAGGAGATCTGCATCCCCAGTGATGATGATGATGAGGAGGAACCTTGCTTCATGTCTATCCCCAGCTGACCGTGGCTGTTCCTGCCCCACACCCACACCTTCCCTGATCTGTGGGTAAAGATTGTAACACTACATTAAAGACCTATGCTAGCCCTTATCAAGGACGTTCAACAACGTCCTTGCCCTTATTGTTTTAGTTATTAGGGTGTTTTAAAGTTTTATTCTCTACCTTTTTTTGCTGAATTAGCTCTAGTCTGTTTCTGAAAGTCCACTTCTCTGCATGATTCCAGGCTATTTATTACTGAGTGGGATATTACCGGTATGACAAATCATACCAAGTTAAAAAAAGTATGTTTCACCATCTTTATGGTTAAAAGGAGTTGTTTTTGTAAACAGCAGCATTTGTATACGTGGGTGCAGACTAATTACTGAATCGACTGCAGGTACTGAAAAGCTATACACAAGATATGAAGGTACAGTAACGTTACATGTATATAATGCTCTTTGATACAAGAACCAAGGACATTCTTTGTTGAGTTGGGTTGTGATATTGCCTGTTTTAAAAAAAAGTTGAAAACAGCAAGAAGAGTTACATGTATTATATAAGAAGCTTAGATACAGATTAAAGTTCTTTGATTGTATCGACTTCAATCTACCTTTTCTTAAAACCAATTCATGATTTTATTTCACCCACACAGATTAGTCTGTCTCCTGTTGTAAGACGTCATTCAAAATGTTTCCATATTCATACAGTCAGCTTCCACTGTTACCGCGCACTCCTGGCATGATAGTACAGTACAAATGTCTGGTCAACCACAGCCGGGTCGGGCCTCACTCAGGAGGCCCACCAACCGTCCCCAAACCACCGGGCTACCGCCCCCAGCCCCCTCCTTTCGTCAGAGTGGCACAAGCGAACATGTCCACCATGGCAACAGCTCTTCTGACGAGAGGAAAGACGGGCAAACGACCTCTTCAAACATGTACGAAAAAGCAGAAGCAGTGAAACATCAGCATCTCCCGAAGGGTGAAAGGCGTCATGTCAACATACCTGATACAATGGGCTCATCCACAGGTAAGCTACCTGTTGTACATTTGTATTCCAACACAAGAAGCGGTTTTGGAATAAAGAGCATTCTGAAATACAGTACTACCCTTCTGTACCTTTCCATGAAATAATGAATAAGAATTTCAATCTGAGAAAGAATACATTTGCACTGATGTCTTTTTTAAAATCCTTTTTAGGGTATAGAAATGGGATTAAGTTGAAGTGAGAACTACATCAAAATCAATTCTGTATACATGGTATTATGAATTGTAATACTTTATTGTATTCAACACATTGTGTGTACATCTTTACAGATATATGTAGTAAGTATCTGTATCTGTATCTGTATAGCCGGTATAACCGCCTTTTGGCGTAACACACCAGCTTTGAGGTATGTATATGTATATGTAGTATAAATATGTAATACTTGCTAGAACTATGAAATCAAAACATCTGGAGTCCCCCACATCCTTTAGTATTCCATCCTCCATTATTGTTATCCCATATATTATTATTATCCCTTGAATGCAAGTTTTTAGTTCTGAAATTTCATTTGTCAGTGCATACCTGTAGTTCCCACTTCAATGTGGGATTTTAACCATATTTTATAATGACATGAGCAATATCATCTGTTCCACAGACGATGCCTGTAACAATGACCGAAGCCGTCGCCGTGTTTTCTGTGATTTCCTGTGCCCCATGGTCACCACACTGACAGTGGTAGGAACCCTGGTCATTCTGGGAATCGTCATGATGATGTTTGTCAATGCCAAGTTTGACAAACATGAAAAGGTTGGAACTCCATATACTAGTAATAAATTCAATGCCCTTTCACATCTTAGGTCTACAAAAATCTATACAGCAACATAAGGAAGAGCAATAAAAAGTCAAAAAAAAGAAAAAAAAGAAAGACAGAAAGAAAAATGTGTAATCCACTACATGAATTTTCTTACCGAGCTTGTCTGTGCCTTTCTCACCTCTATATTCTTAGGACATTTCACAGCTGTCTATCAGGGTGGATGCCTTGAAACATGACCTGGACAATGAACGAAACCGAACTGCAGCCATGGAACAGTGTTTTAACATAAAATGCAAGATGTCGGGTGAGTATCGTATTAAATGTGAAATTTCTCAACCCAGTGTTGAATCTTTGATTAATTGGGTTTTCAGCAGGCTTCAGGTTCTTTTATTTTCCATTTTTGCTTTGTATGTTGCAGATGTTCCTCTTGGCTCCAAGCGTAAAGATGAACCCCCTGGACAACCTGTGAGACATCCTGGACAACCCAGAACAGTCAGACCTCTGGACAACCTGGAGCTTCGAGACAACCCAGACCCGCTGGACAACCCAGACCCGCTGGACAACCCGGACCCGCTGGACAACCCGGACCCCCTGGACAACCCGGACCCCCTGGACAACCCGGACCCCCTGGACAACCCGGACCCCCTGGACAACCCGGACCCCCTGGACAACCCGGGCCTCCTGGACAACCTGGACAACCCGGACCTAGTGGACGAACCGGACCTAGTGGACGAACCGGACCACCTGGAAAATCCGGACCTAGTGGACGAACCGGACCACCTGGAAAATCCGGACCTAGTGGACGAACTGGACCACCTGGAAAATCCGGACCTCCTGGACAACGCGGACAACCTGGACAACGCGGACCCAGTGGACGAACCGGACCCCCTGGACAACGCGGAGCCCCTGGGCATCGCGGACCACCTGGACAACCCGTGTGTGCCAGAGGCTCTCGAAAACCAGGCCGCCAGATTACAGGTGAGACTCCAACAAATGCTTTAGCCACCAAAGGAGGTGAATACTTTCATACCGCCTGTAAATATATGTGCGATTACAATCAAAGTAGGCCCTGATCCCTTTCTGTTTCAGCTACTCGGAACGGAGGATGCCAAGGCGGATACAAACTCCTTGCTGGGACCTGCTTCAAGCTTAATGCCAACAGACTGTCCTACGACGCCGCCAAGATGGCCTGTAAGAGGGAAGGAGCGAGACTAGCCATGCCGAAAACAAAAGAGCTGGACCAGGCTTTGAGAAACCTGGCCCGCACAGAAGGAAAACACCTGTATCATTGGATCGGCATGAGGGATATCGGACGCACTTACCGTAATTTGCATAAAAGCCACTGGCAGTGGGAGGATGGGTCTACTCTGGGCAACTACAAGGTACCTTGACACGCCTTACTTACTGTTGGGCACATAAAAGATCACTACAAACTAGAAACCTATGTTTGTTTTTATGTAATTTAATTAGCAACTATTTCTCTCCCTCACATGTAGGTGTTGTTCACCAAAGTACATCTTACATATTAATTCAATATATGTTGTATATCATTTCAGAACAACCTAATATATGATGTTTATTTCTTAAACCAGGGATGGAGTCCAGGAGAGCCAAAGCGCTCGAAAAAAACCCGTTGCGTGCAGTACTGGTCAGGCCCCACTGGTTCTCCTATGTGGGTCAATACTAAATGCAGTTTAAAGCTTCGGTCTATCTGTCAAACCCCTCTTCCATAAATGGGGAAGAGAGCAACAAACCATGCTGGCATCAGCCAAGCATACTCTTGCCAGTAGAGCTTGCCAAATTCAAGCGCTCAGATTCAGCAAGTAAATGTAAAGAAATTTTGTAATTTCTAAAAGGTCTTCATTATCA